TCTCCCACCTAGCAAGGCTGTCCGGTGCTGGGTCTTCTTCCTCTAACAACTCACCAAGTGCTAGTCCCTGGGACACAGAGTAAAATGCAATGGTGGATACTCTTGGGACCGGGATTGGGAGGGGGGAGGGGCAGAGGATGCGTCTGTGCAAGCCTCACTCTACGCCCCAGACTCGGGGGCCCACCCCTATCAAGCCCTCCTCTGCTGTGTCTTAGTCTCTGGAACGAAGGCCGAAGCTGGAGGTGGAAGCCCAGCTGTAGTGAGAAGAGCATGTTTTCCCCATCAGACCTGGAAGGAGGATAGATTAGAACTCAGAGTCACTAAAAGAGAGTCCAGAAATTCCACCCCACTGGCGGTTTTCCAACACTAGGTTCCGGTCTTGGCTCTGCCACTTTCTGTGTGACCTTGAATTGAAGGCCCCATAATTATTGTTTTAAAAAACTAATTAATTTGTACTAATAAAATTTTAGGAAAATATAGAAAATCACTCCAAAACTTTGATGTACGTATATCCTTCCAATCTTTTCCTCATATATTTGAATAATATGCATACTTCTCTGAGCCTCCATGTTCTAGTCTGAAGCACAGAGATGATAGAACTTATATTAAGAACAATTTCATAGATGAAGTTGTTGTCCTGAGGTGAAGTGAGCTGTTTCAGGAGGTAATGGACTGCCGCTTACCAAAAGTGCTAAAGAGGCCATAAGGATTCTTGCCAAGGATGAGATGAGAACACTGGTTAGGGAATTGAAACAATTTTCCTCCCATCCCCCACCCCTGCCCCAGAATGAAGGAGATTGGAGGAATAACAATTTAACTTGGAATTCATTTGGTTAGCTTCTTCTTAAATAATTTTATTCTTGTCCCCACTGTGCGTGCTAGATCATGATTAAAGCAAAAGACGTAAGCGCAAAATTGTAAAGACAGAGAAATATATAAACTTCTGTTATGTGTTAAAAATGTGTGTATGTGTTAAAAATGGTTCTTTAAATTATGATCCCTATCTAAAATTCTGATGTTCTCTAACCCTACCTATGACACAAAAAGTCATTTTCATAACCAAAATAAAATAGTTTGTTTGGAGTTTTGCGAGTGTGCATTGAATTTCTCAATTGAAACTTCCTCAAAACCTAATAGACTCAATCCATATGTTCTAAACAGAATAATATGCCTTTTGACAATTGAGTATTAATGGTACTTTTATTTGAGTAGAAACTGTAGGCCTGTGTAGTGGGTTGAATAGGATCCCCCCTAAAATTCATGTCTACCTGGACTCTCAGAATGTCACCTTATTTGGAAACAGGGTCTTTGCAGATGTAATTAGTTAAATTAAGAGGAGGTAATACTGGATTTGGGTGTGCCCTAAATCTAATCATTGGTATCTTTATAAGAAGAGGACAGGTGCACAAAGACACATATACACATAGGGAAGAAGGCCAGATGAGGAAGCAGAGATAGTAGTGATGCATGTACAAGTCAAGCAACCTCAAGGATTGCTGAGGGCTACTAGAAGATGGAAGACGCAAGGAAGGATTCTTCCCTAGAGTATTCCAAGGGAATATGGCCCTGCTGATACCCTGATTTTGGACTTCTCGCCACCAGAACTGTGAGAGAATAAGTTTCTGTCATTTTAAGCCATCCAGTTTGTGATTTTTGGATGGTCTTTTAACATCTTCCATAACTATGTTCCACCTTCCTTAAACTCTCTGGAGGCCCTTTACTCCTATCCTGTCCACTCGAGGGAAGCCTACACCATGAGAGCATTTCTGGGACTCATTCTATTTAGCAGAGGCTGATAAATCACCAAAAAGGAAGGCAGATCTGTGTAGATTAATGTGGTAAGATCCCCAAGGCCTGCCAAAATGTCACCAAATAACAAGTGTAAAATAGGATTTCATACATGTGAAGAAAAGTAGATAGACATGCATATGCATATATACCTACACACACAGTGTGTGTGTTGGCATGTAAATGAATATAAAAGAAAGATCTGGAAAGATACATACCAAACTGCTAATAATGGTTACCTCTGAGGAAGTTACCAGGATTTCATCTTTTATTCTATATTCTTCTGGAGTATATTACATTTGCAATAAAATGAAGTTTTAATGATTTTTTAAAAAAGGTTTAAAACAATAATATAATCCATTTGCCAAACATCATATCTGGCCTCAGACAAATCAGTTGACTTAGAAAGGAGAATAGTAGTTAAGAGCATGGCTAATATATAATATGTATATACACACACACACACACACATATGTGTATGTATATGTATATATACATATATATACACATATATACATATATATCTATATATACACTCTTTAAAAAAAAAAAACCTGTGCTTTTATACTTTTTTGCTTCACAAAAAAAGATTTTGTAACCCCTTTTCTCCCGGACTTAACTATATGGAGAACATTTCCCCATAGCATTAACTCTTCTTTTCTATCATTTGTAAATGTTGCATTGTATTCCATTGTATGGATGTTCGATATTATTTCAACAAGTCTTCTACAGGATGTTGGATGTTGAATTTTCCCTTTATTTTATTTTTTGTTATCATAGTGCTGTGCTGAACAAATATTGTAGGAAAAAATGGCCCATATATTTTGTAGCTCTTCCAATCAGTATAGAGTCTATTTCTCTAACCCTGAATCTGGGCTTGATCTTCTGAATTGCTTTGCCCAATAGGGACATTAGCAAATGTGATGCAAGCAGAGGCTTGGAAAGCGTTCATGTACTGGAGCTTGCCCCATTTTTTGTTGCTAGGAATCCTGACACCACCATATGAAGAAGCCTAGGCTAGCTTATTGGAAGAGAGACCACATAAACACAGAGTCCAGGCATCCCAACTGAGGCCCAAACAGGTAAATAAGCCATTTAGCTAGAATACTTAGTTCCTGCTG